ACGATAGATAGGCAGAAGATAATAATTTAACAAGGTGATATGTACATTTTTTTTTACTGATATTTGTAAGTAATGCGTCATTAGCACAGAATGCTTAGCATACAACAAGTTCAGACTACAAAGTGTTCAGATAACAAGCGGTTTACCGTAAGAAGATGAACTTAAGTGTAAATGTTTGATGGTAATGATCATAAACGGCAGACAAACGCCGACCTCGGGGTTTGCAATCAGTTAATATATCGAATGGCGATAATATACAGATATTTCTTCATAAAAAATATTTACAAATGAAATAAAGTTGATTGATTTACGTACCGATATCGAAGGAATCCCGTCTCTTTCATTCGATGCAATTATTATTTACCTTGGGCAAACTCGGCCACAGTTGATACAGTCTGTTGACTTCAATACAAAAAGCTTATATTACCTTTCCGTCACAAGGATAGCATATATGTGAATTGAATGTCCATCATAATATATGTGATGTTTAATAAGGCGCTTGAATTAAATATCAAAAAGTTTTTTTCACGACGGGATTTATAACCACTGACTATGATCTAAAAATGATTTGAAAGCAAGTTGAAAATTCTGTATAGCATATTGTTCAACATACATTCAACAGCTTTCGTTATTTTGAACAGGTCACTTCTGTGATTCAATAAATGTTTTACTTATTCAACATAATGGAAGATTATTTCATTCTTTGTATCTTAAACACTTTTATTTCTATGAAATTTCAAAAGAACTATGAATAACTTACTGTGTCTTAGTTTCTGGCGTGACCGTTGTGGTTCTGGTTGTATGCCTGCAGCAACCACATACTCGTGACAACATTTGACGAGTTTCTGTTCGAAAGTTGCTGCTTCCGAAGAAATAAACGACAACATTCATAGAGTAGTTCAGAGACTCCAGAAGGCTAGACATTGGATGGATAACCAGTAACGTCTGGATAGGAATGGGCTCTCCACTGATCGAAATCACTGGGTAAATAATCACCAACGGTAAGACACAAATGATAAATATTACGGTAACTAGCATAATGAGTTTTGTTGTACGTAACTCCCTTACCTGTTGTGACGTCATTGTATCTCTGATATTTCTTGCCCGTTTAGATTTAAATCTACCATATAGCAAAGTCACCAAGCAAATATTACTTATAAAGACGCCGAAAACCGGAATTCCAAAATACAAAACGGAAACTATTTGAATTAAACTTCTGTACACATCAGGGTCAAGTAACATTTGAACCTTCCTTCGTACATGTGTAATGGTGCCGTTTGTTGTAACAGCGACCAATGGTGGTTCTATTGCCAAAGGCAAGAGTACCACAGGTGCAATAACGATGATGACTATAACACTCACTGTGCCTACACGTCTTGTGAAGATGTATGGCGCTTTATGGGGTAGAACAACAGATACAACACGTTCAATTCCAACCAAAAGCAGTGTTAAATTCGACCAATACTTCGGTATGCGTGTGAAATAGGCTGCTATAGCATTTTCTTCGTCCAGAATGGACATTGACATCTCTAATGCAATTCCTGGGATATTTGAGAGAAGTGACAACATATCAAACACAGCTAAAGCACTTAAATACAGTGCAGTCGATGTAGATGACTTTTTGATTCGTTTCCCGTAGAACCTCATAGTAACAATGGTTCCGGGAATTCCAATAATTGTGACAAGTAAGACGAGAATACACAACATATTCTCATAACGAAAGCCAACGCTGGTACTGGAATCAAAGGTTAAATTTAGATTATCTCCCATGATTGTCTAGGAAACAGGGACGATGCACGAATCAGGTTTGTAACTGTTAAAAAATACCGACCCTCTTTCATGTGTTCTTCAGTGAATCCGATTTTGATGCACTATCAACCAAAGGTTTTCAAGACGAATGACGTCTGATAAATGAAACAGTAATAACATTGATCAATCGGCTGGTCATGCCAAGCCCTGGTTCAACTATATGTCCTAATTGTCAAGTTTTTTCCTTTTCATTTCACTCAGCCGTATACCCATCTATTTTTGTAGCTTTTATTTTACAGTTGTATCCTAGAAGGTGGTGGCTTAAGGATCAATCGATAGAGTTCTATTCTCTCAGGTATACTGCCTGTGTATCCTTGACACTCGTGTACCGGAGATCCGTACCGTTAGTAATGTCCCCTTGTTGGACTCCAAGGTGGGTGAGGAGCACAGGTAATGAAAATCTAAACACCTAGCAATGGGCACAAAAAATCAAAATAAACGACATTGTCCTTCATCATCAGACGCAGATGATGATCATGATTTCAACCAGTCATACGATCGTTGGAAAAGGATAAACCAATGTCATCCGTATCACCATTCGTAATTGAAAAGACTATCGTGCTGTACTCCAAAATGTGTGAAAAAACTGTGATCCGGCAAACAACTCCTTGTAGAAGAAGTCCGCCAGCAACAGGCCAAGAACCTCTTAGGAATGACAAAACGTTTTGAGCTAGCTGTGCAGGTTGTTCCTCATTCCTCCCTGAACACATCAAAAGGCGTTACACGCTGTCCATCTCTTCAGGGAGAGAGTGAGGAGAACATCCTCAGTTACTTCAAGGAAAAACAGCAAAAGGTCAACCAGGTTAAACGGATCAGGGTGAAGCGAGATGCCATTATCCGTGCCACCAACACTTTCGTTCTTTCTTTTAACACCAAATTTTTACCGAAACGTGTAAAGGTTGACTTCGAGAGTGTTGGTGTGGATGTTTACATCCCAAATCCACTGCGACGCTGTGGTTTCCAGAAATTTGGTCATCATTCGGATGACTGTAAAAAAAAAAAACCCAGAAAGTTTGAGCTAAATGTGGAGTTGCGGGCCACGAAGATGGGTCGGCAGATGGTGCTTGTGATGGTCGAGTTCACTGCGCGAACTGTGGTGGAAGGCATCCAGCATATTTCAGAGATTGCTCTGCTTGGTGCAGAAATCTTTCGTGTCAAGTATACAAACAACATTGCTTTTCCTGAAGCAAGAAAGATTGTTTAAACACCTGTGTCAGGTCCATCCTATGCCAGTCGTGCAAAGGTTGGCATTACGACAGTGGAGAATCGTGATGCTGCAACACAGACATGTGATACAGGTACAAAGCCTGACATGGCGTGCGACAATCTTTCTAGCCTTCGGCCTGCTGCATCAAAGCCTTCTTCAACACTGTCATCGCGACCACCACCATCACCAACAATACCAGCTCCAAGCACTCAAAACGTGAAAAATCAGCCCAAGCAGAAAATTCAAATTTCCTCAGATAGAAGGAAAAAAGGGTCTGACGACCTAATTCACACTTTTAACAAATTTGGCTCCCTGGAGGATATGGAGTACCAGGTAGCTACTTCCAAATCATCCAAGATCGCCATTAAAGCTGTCAAAGCACCTTAGTTTAAACAAGCAGTCTAGCTAGTAATTGATGGTCCCCAACTTATTCCTATTAGTAATAATGGGTACAATAATCAAATGGAATGCTGGAGGTCTTCGATCCAATATTGATGAAATTCTTCGAGTGTCTCAAGATCATAACCCTAGTGCAATCTGTCTCAAGGAACGAAACGCTCACCAGAGCCGAGACAAATATCAATTTCAGGAATTATTCATTATTAGCTATGATGGTTGACAACCAAATTTCTCATAGAAATATACCATTAAATACAGACCTACAGGCAACTGCTGATAGTGTTACACTCCATTACGCTTACAGTATGCTCTATCTATCTCCCTCCAAACTCTGATTTCACGAACAACCCACTAGACGAACTCCTATCGTAACTGCCTCGCCATTCATACTTTTGGGTGACTTTAATGGTCATAACAACATTTGGGGTTCACTCGACACTAACGACAGAGGAACAAAAATTGAAAATTTATATCGGAAAATAACCTTTGTCTTTACAAAAATAAATCAACTTATTGGTATCGCTCTTCCGGAACATTCTCGCACCTTGATTTAAATTTATGTCATCAATCGTTGTTACTAGATTTCGAATGGACGGTGCATGACGATCTCTGTGGAAGCGGTCACTTTCCAATATTTCTAAGGAATTGTGGATTCACAGAGAGCGATCATGTACCCCATTGGGAGTTATGTAAGGTAGACTGAAGTATTTGAACATCTCAGTACAAACATTCTCAACACCATCGATTTCCTGAATTTAGAAGACCCGATAGAATCCTTTACAACCGAAGTTCTTGAGATAGGCAAACAATGTATACCAAAGTCCAAAAGAAAACATAACAAAAACTTTGGATTAACGAAGACTGTGATAAAGCTGTTAGGAATAGGAAAACCGCTTTGAGGCAATTTAAAAACCAACCCCACAAGCGATAGCGTAAACAACTACAAAATTATTCGGGCGAAAGCCCGTCGTGCTATACACTTACACAAAACATTGTCTTGGTGATATTATGTGTCCAAATTAATTTCCAATACATTCACCAAAAAGTATGGGATATGATTAAACGAGTCAGTGGTAAAACATTATTTAAAACAATGGGACATCTGAAAACTAATGGAAAATTAGCCACACCGAAATTTGATATTGCAAATGCTTTAGGATCTGCTTTTTCCAAAAAATTCATCTGCAAATAATCATTCTCAAAAATTTTAAAAATTTAAGACCACGCGGGAAAAAAAATAAATCAAAATTCTCTTCTTAAAATAATGTATAATCAGCCTTTCTCAATGTAAGAACCATTGAACAAATCACATGACTCTGCAACAGGACCTGATGATAATCACTGTCAGTTCCTAAAACATCTACCAGAGTCATCATCAGAAAAACTTCTTGATATTTTTAATTATATTCTTAAAATGGCATCGGAAAATGTCCCAAAGTCATCTTGATAAAGTCAAGATTAATTTTGGTATCTGATATCCAATTGCATAATATCACACCTACAAAGCGGTTTTAGATCTAAGCGAGGTACCAACGATCATTTGGTTTGACTTGAAACCTTTGTGCGTGAGACTTTTCTAAAAAAGGAGCAATTGGTTGCTGTTTTCATCGATTCGGAAAAGGCTTACGAGGCAACATGGAAATATGGCATAATAAAAGATCTGCACGATATAGGTATTGAAGGTAATCTACCAATTTTTATTTCAAATTTTCTATCAGATAGAGTATTTGAAGTCCGATGTTCATCAGCAGGAAATGGGTGAACCAAAAGGCAGCTTTCTTTCGGTTACACTTTTTGGACTTAACAGTATTGTCAAAACATTATTCCCTTCGATGGAGGGCGCTCTTTATGTTGACGACTTCATCATATGCTATCGATCTAAGCATATGAATACCATAGAAAGACAACCGACTTCAACAATGTTTGAATCGACTATAAATTTGGGCAGATGAAAATGGTTTTAAATTTTCACAATCAAGAACAGTCTGTATGCATTTTTGTCAAATTCGGAAACGACACGACTATCCAAATATGTCTCTCTGTGGTGTATCCATTCTGGTTGTTGAGCAAACAATATTCTTAGATGCAATATTCGACAGGAAATTGTCGTTTCTTTCACATATAAAATAGCTTAAAGCCAAATGCCTGAAGGCACTGAATATTCTAAAGGTTGTGTCCCACACTGATTGGGGAGCTGATAGAAAAGTTTTGCTAAGACTCTAGAATTGGGCTACGGTTCCATCGTAAATGGATTTGCTAGACCTTCATATTTAAAAGTATTAGACACTGTTCATCACCAAGGTGTCAGACTCGCTCTCGGAGCGTTTAAAACCATCGTTTTGGGGGTTCAAGCACTTCAACCTATACCGCTAGAGGTTATTTTTAACAATGCCCGTACACTGTAAAAATATCAGGTAACTTAACGCTAGAATGATTGTAACTGAAGTGTAATATTTCCCTTACTAAGGTGATTCATATTTATTTTACACCTAAAAAAGTTTTAATTGAGATTACACTAAAATGTAAAATGCTTACTGTGCTTGATATTGTCAGCTAACTGTAATAGTCTACTGGCTGTACATTTGTATTCACATGTATGTGTAACTATTGTTCATTGTAATAGATCAGGGATCATTATGGTTTTAAATTGCTGTATCATTTTCTAACATACTTTCTCAGAGAGGTATATTTAAATGTGGGCAAGAATGATCTTGAGTTTCATTTAACAAGGAGGGGTTTTAACATGTGGACAGTCATACAAACATTCACCTCGCACCACTCCAGGAGGGCGTCCTTCAATGAACGACCTAGTCTGTGTTGATAGGATGTTAAACCTGTAAAACCAAACCAAATCTCACACATCAGCATCTCTTTAGGTTGAAGGCTGAGAATCCTGCTTCATTTTGAGAAGAAAATTGCATGTTACATTAGAAATGCATTATTTATACCATATCATTTTTAATAGTTGATATAATGATTGAGGAGTTAAACACTTTGATGGATCATAAATATCCCAAGATTTTGTGAACTGTATTAATCTTCGAAACTGGATTAAAAATGACCACAGCATTGTCAACTTTAAGAAAATATCTATGTATACATGTTTATAGTTAAAATAAATGCCCCTCAATTTCATATTGCAACTTTTTACAGCATGTCGCTCAACAACTTGAATTGGAAGTACGAGGTCAGTGATGAACAGATTGGAAGATCACCAGGTAATTGCATATAAATCATAACTGGTTGGTAGACCATCCTTGTCCCATCCTTAATCAATTTTCTAGCTTCATTTCTAAAGGAGTCTTATTAAAAATTAATTAAATGCAAAGTTCAACTATGACATATATACATAGTC